AAAAATTTACATCATTCTGAACAGATACGATCACATGGTGGTAATTGAATGTAGACCTAAAATTAAAACCCTGAAAGTCCAAATCAGTATAGCAATATAGGATAACTAACGAATTCATCACTGTCTGGTTTACGAATCTGAACCATCTCAAATCCGCATGGAGTCAACAGAATAGAATCTTCGCAGGTTTGATTTACTTCTTCAAGCCTATCAAAAACACCCTTGGCCTGGATATAAAGATAAAAACAGGCGAATTTAACCTGATTACGGATTTCAAGAAAAGTATTTATATTATATGAACCGATTGCAAGCTGAGCAGCTCTGTTAGTCAGCATTACACGCTCCAATAGAAACTGCCGTAGTACTACCATGTCAGGAAGAGAAGAAAATGGGGGCCTATCAAATAAATACTGAGAAAATATTTACCTTTCTAGCCACAACGCAACATGTATGACGGCTGTCATTAGCTTTAGAACACCACGAATAACCTGAGTAGCGAGATCATTAAAATCATTTTGAATGCCAGGATAAGTGTCCGAATTCTTCTCTTGCTGTCGCTCATACATTTTCAACATTTTTTCAATAGTTACAACAATATATGCGATAGTTCTCGAGACCCTGAACAGCAAAACTTGCAGATTTTCATTATCGAATGATGAGAACTCATTTAACATATGTCTAATTCTTCCCATTAATAAAATTTGATGTCCAATTTTTTCGATTCCAATTAAGGTTAAGTCGGATGGCGACACAGTCGCCAGCCATTTCCCATTAACCCCTTTTGACGCTAAAATATCCGTATAAGTTGAAAGAGGATCATCGAGTCCTTTGTAAAATTTTTATGAAGAGTAAAACATTACCTTTAATCCATGAAATTACTTTCCGAGTATTCCAATTTACAAAATGCGTAGGTCGTTCAGCCCCATCCATCGGGAAGCATTGAAATGGGCGAAAAGGTGTAAACGAGAAAAACTGAGTTCACCCGTGTTTACTGAATTGTTTAAAAGATAAAACGGCATATTTAATATATTTACTAGCTTAGCGGTGAGCAAAATTTATGGAGGCACAATAAAATTAAATAGTTCATTTTTAGGCTAATTTATGATTAGGTATAATAGGGCATAGGAAAACCCTAAATTTAGGGCAGGGATAGGTTTAAAAGGATAATTACTTCAAGATATACTCTTTCATCAGTGTTCTTAATTTTTATTAGTTTACGAGTTGAGTGATGAGCAAAAGTTGAAAAGAGCATGCATCTTATAAAAGTGTGATTGATTCCTATCTTAAATAAAGTAGGAATATAATTTTGGGGATAGCTTCACTAAAAAAAACACCTTGTAGAATATAATAAGTAAGTAGTTTAAGGTACTTTTAGCAGTTACTGCCTGCTTAATGCACCTTAAATTCCGAGTGAAACGGTAAATAAAAATTTAGATTTTTAAGGCAATTGGAAGATAAACCAATGCAACTG